TTTTTCATATACATATTTCGATACAATTTTTTTTCACAAGTTTAATTTAATTTGTTCTAATGTCATCTAACTTCTTAATTAATCTCGATTTATGGACGGACATTTTGTTCTGAATTTATTTCCAGTTAGATTAACCTTTTTACGAAACTCATGGAAAAATCGAATGTAAGGTACATAATAGGTGGACCTAACATACCTCATTGCCGTATTTTATACTTTTTTTATTAACCCAATAATACAAATATTTGCTATTCTAGGTCTATATCTATACACATTATATTTCTTTTATAAATATGTATATGTCTAAACATTTAAATATTTGTTGTTGTTATTTTATTTATATAAAATATCCACTGATGCTTGGCCAACTTGTTTAATGGCCATTTGGTCCATTTTATTTTACTAGAAGCTGCTAGTAAATTCTATTGTTACTACATGTTCAATCATGTTTGTGAGAATATATACAGTTGTATCTATGAGTATATAAGAGTGTGTTAAAGTACCATTTGACATTAGCTAAATAATTTGTCTATAAATGGGGATCTTAATTATACAAGAGCAGAATATTTATTTAGTTGTGTCTATTCACTCACTCACAAATGCAGACATTTCTCTATTTGTCCATAATATTGATGTGTTCGACATTTTAATAGAGTTCATTCATTCATTCATTCATTTAGACACCAAATGTTATTGAGAATACTAAATTATATGAGAATTACTTTTGTGCTCTGCTACTTAGCATTAAATCTTTGATGAGTGCTATACACTTAAAGTGACATTAAAGACTAATAAAGATATATAGTAAATAAAATCGTTGATTTTTGTGATTATGTCTTTTGGGTAGGAGAGCTTTGGTGTAATTATAAATTAATAATTAATTTTATTATCAATTACAAAAAATGTTGGTGCTTGATTTCAAGAGCAATTGTGTACGTTGTTAATTTTATTATAAAAATGTCCTAATGGTTGAGAGCTAAATTGCGAAGCAAAATAACTAAAACTAAGTACTCCGTTATCTGTGAACTGACGTTATAAATAAATTATTTCTTTTACTGTTCCAAAAACTTTTTTTCAACTAATTTAACTAATTTACTTTAAACTCTTAAGTTACTATACAAAAGTTTAAATTAAATCAATGTCTGTTTCTGACACTCACTACCTTTAAAAAAATAGTCGACCGGCCCTGCTCTTGGCTTTAAATACTATACACATACATATATATTTGTAAAATTCAAATGGTTCTATATATATTAATTTCTTTATTTATTCAACAGTAAAATATACTACTATTGATTTTTGTTATTTTGCCCAAAAAGCCAGCTTAAGGAATAAAACTCTTATGTACACAGGTTTGTTTTTTCGAAACTCATATCTATTTATTCCCCAAATAGTATTTGTTAGTTTATTTCATTACACACAAAACAACCTTGGCCCTGTCTATCTGTCTCTCCAACAACCTGACTATCCACCAGCACCACCACTAAACAAAAAAATTGGAAACAAGTAAAATGTAGCCTTGCTAAAACCAAAAAATAAAATCCATATCCAACCCAAACCATTCTCTCTGAAGTGAATGAATCTTTACAACAAGGACGAGTATTTAGCTTTTCATTCAGGTATTTTTTGTTTTATATTGCAACCTTTATTAAATAGAGTATTAGTTACTTGTAGATAACTTTGTATATTTGTATCTTGTAGATATGTACTTATGTATGTATGTAGTTTGTATTACTATTAACAAGTTAGCAAAAGCAACAATGCTGATTGTGTCAGTGTTAAAAGGCTTGGCTTATTTTTCTATTTTTGGTTTGCATTTTCCTTTTCTTGTTGGTTTTAATATTTCTTACCCGAAGACATTTTTGTGGCATGAGTTTTGTTGTACTTTTGTAAAGTCATGGACAATGATTGAAATTAATGTATTTCTAAATGTTGTGTATAGTTTTGTTACAATCTCAGTATGGCGAATGTTGTGATTTTAGTTGAACAACGGCTTTCAATTCATTTTATAAAGTTCGTTCTTCTCCTATCAAATTTTATCATAAGAACTAAGTATTTCGATTTTGCAGTTGTTGTTGTTGGATAAAAGTTTTTTAATGGTAAATCTGAATCATCTAAGAGTTGTATAAGGATCCATATGTTTTAATATTTATGACCAATATTGAAATTTAAATTTACTTAAGTTCATAAAATTATGTAATAGTTTTTGACCAAATTGTAATAATATTTGCAAAAAAGCACTAAATCGTCCTCATTGACTTTAATATTTTGTTCATCCCCAAAGTTTCTTTTAGAAAATTTTTATTCTCTTATGAATTGTTTTTTTTTTTTAGCCAAAAGTGTTAATATTAAAATAAATGTTCGTTTTTATTTTATTTCATTTAGTTTTGTTAATTTTCTAGAAACAATATCTATTTGTAGAAAAAAGTCAAGAAAACTTAAAGTAAATTGAGAAAAATATTTTGTTAAATAAATAGAGGAATTTGTACTTTAATTTTTGTGTAAATGTTGGCAGTTGTGTTAATAAAAAACTTTCATAGAAGTATTATAGTAAATAATGTGTTCTGAACGAAAAATATAATCCCCAGCTGTTCCCGGTTTCCATGAGCTCGCGTGCCTACCGATAAAGCAGGTTTTTAATCCATTATATTATGACACTACAAGAGGTGTGGTTAGTATTATTAGATGTAATCATCATCGAAGAAAAAAGGCGTGGGAGTCGAAATGATTCTGATCCAGGTATTTACATATTTTCTTTTTCAAATCTTCTAGACGTCTTCTCCAAATTCCTTCTTTTTATGTCTAATATTACACTGTGTGTAATTTTTTAAGTCTCCCAGTTTTGCCCAAAGTCATGCACAGTTTTTTATAAGCCTTCAAAGATTTGGGGACTCGGTGTCATATTTGCAAAAAAGGAATAATTTTCCCAGGCTTATATCTTGCAAACTGTTTGGAATTTTGATTCACTCTCTGAGGCAAAGTTGTAACTCTTGTCATAAAGAACAAACATTGTGGAATGTCTTACATTGTAAAATTGCACTGTTTTTATTAACGACACCTGTACGTATACGTGTTAATAATTTTTTGATATTACAAATATTAAGTATACGCCTAATTTACAAAAACACTTTAAATACATATTTTTTAACACGTAAAAAAAGCGAAGTTTTTTTGTGATTTTATTCTTAAAAAAGAAGTTCTTTATGACAGGAGCTATAACTTTGCCTCAGAAAGTAAATAAAAAATCGCAAAAATGGCAGGAAGGCCCCAAATTTTGTAGGTCTTGTTTGGTCTTTTATCACATGGTTATATTCTTTCGTGTTGTACTGTGTTACTAAAGCTTGATTGTCCAGAATTCGAAGAGGGACCAAACTCTCGCCGATATTCTCAACACATACGTGCAAGTCTAGAGTCCGCAGAATCTTCTCTAAAGGCAATATATTTTATCGAATTGTTTCCAAGACGTTTCCAAGCCGTCTTGTCTCTATTCATCGTTAACCGAACACAACAAACCTTCTTTGGATCTATGAAGAAAATCAGTCGATCGTGATATTTCATTCCTGGGGTTAGAAATTCATGTTGGCATCGACATTTTTTACATTTTGTTCACGCGACAAGGACTTAATTAAAGGATCTTAAATTTATAAAAGTGTCATACATAACCTCTTTAAATATTTTAGTTTAAAGATGCTTTCGCATTTAAGTTAAAAAGCCAATCAATATGATTCTTCATATAAAAAGCATTTTTATATAAATAAATTTTTGTTATTTTTTAGCTTAAATATTTCTTGTGGTTTTACCCATTACTAAGCAAAAAATATTGAGCAACAATTTTCGAAATGATAAAGCATTTTATTATTATTGCAAAACTTTTACCGTTATATCAAAGCCTTTTTAATAGAAAAAACTCCACAAGTAATAAAAACAACACTATACATTTTAATTCCATTTAACTAGTGTTAAATAACTATAAAAAAAACAAAACAACAAAAAAATCACAAACTTCTAACATAAACATTTTGGCAAATCATCATAATAACAACCACATTAACAAAACCACAATGTGGTTGTTATTGTTGTTTATATTATTGTACTTGTAGGTTTAATATCAGATTAATTTAATTTGCTTAAACAGCCCCTTAATGCCTCATTAAATTTAAATATATTTTTTTTTTAACTTTTTAATTCTACTTTTTAACAGACACATACAAAAGAAATTAAGATATTAATACTTTTTTATACCACACATTCGTTTTTAAAGAGATTAAAATTTAAACACATACAAACATACATACATAAACATTCATATTAATGTTACATATACACGCTCATATTATAATTTACAAAATCAACTGCTTTACAAGGATATATGTTATGCTCTCGTTTCCCTGCAGTTCGGGTTAGATGTACCCATTTAAACTTTCGTTTGTGATTATCCTCGGTTACTTATTTAACTATGAGATTAGTAAGAATGCCCAAAAACCAAACATTGGTTTGGGTCGCAATTTTCAGGATAATTTCAGGAAATTTATGTAAACTATTTGTAAGACATTTTATTAGGATACATCGACTTCTTATTAAACTGTTGGGTGTTTTACAGAGATATATTTATGTATGTTGGTGTATATCTATGTAATTTTGTAGCTATATGGATTCTATACAAGGTATTTAAATAAAACACACACATATTCATTTGTTAGAACAGCTTTGCAACAAACCTTATAAATATAAGCAGAAGCAGATAAAGAGAAGAGACAGTAAACCAACTTGCAAAATACTAAAAATTGTATATGGAAAAAATGAGAAAAAAATTAAAAATAAGCAACACTTAATGAGGTGCAATCGTTTTAAATAAAGTAGCAATTAATTAAGTTGAATCACTTGCAAATCCTAAATCAACTATTTGAGTGGAAAAATGTTGAAAACGTACCGACAACAAAGTAAAAAGTGAAAAAGAAAAAAAAAAAAACGAAAAACGCCAAGTTAAATGAAATACGTAGTATCTTTATACGTATAAAAATAAAGAAGAAAAATTACGTTAGAGGTATTAACTCATCACCACAGGATAAAAAGAAGTTTAGTTTTTTGCTAATTTATTTCAAAAATATAAATTAGTAAAAATGTGTGAACGAAGAAAACAAACCAAAGGAAATCTTAAGCTGTTATAATGCTCAATTAAATTACCTTGAACGTGAAAAATCTTTAAAGAAATAAATTAGCTCAGAATTTGTATAACAGAAATACAAAGAATTTTTTTTAATTATTCTATGAATTTATTTGTGTTAATTTGAGTTTATTAGCTCTATTAAGCGGTCTGCTTATATATGTTTAATTGTTTAATTTATAGGTTCATTATTTTTGGAAAATGTCTATGTAACTTAAATATTTTTAACCAGCTTTCTGAGAAGAAACCTTTCGAATCAACGTTTTTAAATAAAGAAATGTAAAGTGAAACCAGGCATTGCGTTTACTCTGATTCATCAGAGAAGTTACCCTTCATTGGAATACCGTAAGCTGTTGCTTTGGAATTTAAATACGATATAACCCCCTATAAATATTCATGAAAGATTAATAAAATCAAAAATATTTTACAAGAGGAATTTTGTATAGGAAATCGGCATTAATAAACCACTGATAACGTTAAAGTTTAATGAACTTTATATTCATTAAACTTTATTTTACTTTGCTTAAGATTCATACAAATGAAATGAAACTTTATTTAGTTTTTTTCCTTTCTATCTCTATTTTCAGTACTACATGCAGTTAGCTGGGAAGAATGGTGGACCTATGATGGTATATCAGGTAAGTTTTATGCAAAACTATAATAAAAAGAAATACATTCACAACAATACTTACATTCTCGAAAAAATATGTTTTATAATAAATACTACAGATATAAATTTAAATGTCAACTATGAATACTTAAATTTGGGTTAAATATTACAAAAAAAATCAGCCTAAAGTTATATAAACTAAAACGGACAAAAACAAAATGCTGAAAAAAAAGAATATCATACTATATTACAATGAAGGAAAAAATTTACTCTACAAAAAAGTAAACTACTATAAAACTATAAAAAAATGCCATGAATAAATATAAATTTGTATGCATATTTGTATTATTTTTTTCTTGTTATCTGAATGCACAACTAGGGATGCCAATCGGGACTGGTTTTTAGAAATCCCGGGATTCGGGATTTTTAAATAAATCCCGGAATCCCGATATCGAGATCCCGGGATTTTCGGGATTTCTAAATCCCGAAAAATATAAAAAAAATTCAAAAAATCTTAATAATTTACCGACAAAAATAAAACGTTTTATTTCATATTGCAATATGAATACTCTTAGTAGGTGTTTACTTTCCTATAATCATTTTGTGAAAAGAAAAACAAATTAATTCAAAGTACATACTTAGAATAAAAATCTTTCCATCCCAGGCACTGAATAGTAGAATAAAAACCTAAAATAATACCCATGATATCCAAATTTACAATGGTTTCCAAATAATATTTAAATAGTATGTGTAATGGGGATCCATACGAGGCTACATAGAGCACCTGTACTGCACCTATATCTCCTCCACCTTATATTCCGTGTTCACTAACCAAGGGAATTATCTTCTCGCCATCTTATTGACAGGTTGACTTCCATTATAGATATTCGATAGTATCAATGCCTATTTATTGCCCTTTTTATACCCTTAGTAGGGATGGTATATTGGGTTTCTCCGGAGTAGTGCTTTTGTTTTATACTGTCCTAAAATACGCTGATGAAATTTGAAATGATCGGGCTTTTGATCCGAGCCCCCATACAAAACACAGCTTTAAAAAAGAATTAGTGTCCACAATTCGCTTAAAAAGAGAACTGTCGCAATGAAATTCAGCATAAAACATTTTATGTAACCGTAAATTCGTCCTCCAAATTTTATGAGGATCGACTCATATGATGGCGTCCTTCCCCCAAGCATATTTCAGAAAAATAGTTTTTTAACAATAAAGTGCTAGAATATATCGGAGGCGAGGTATACATTTATTATGAAAACTAAATTACATTTTACTCTTATAACTGGTGTATGGGGTTATATGGTCGGCCTCGCCCGCCTATAATTTCGTACTTGTTATTTTTATATATCCGATAGTATCTATGCCTATTTAGTATAGCAATGAAATTTGATATTAGTAAATCCCTGACGAGCCAAAACCTCTCTACCAAATTTTATGTGGGTCGGTTCATAATTGACCCTACCCCCATATAACGCTTATTACTGGCTTAAAAATAGCGATGAAATTCGATACACATATGTTTCATGCGAGTCAAAATCTCTCTACCAAGTTTTATGTGGTTCGGTCCATAATTGACCCTACCCCTACATAAGGTCCCATCCAGATAAATACTTTAACGCTCATTACTGGCTTACAAGTACGAGTGTAGAGATGAAATTTGAAATAAGTAAGTTTCTTACTCGCGAAAAGCTAAGAAACTTTTATGGGAACGTAAATCTTCCTACCGGAAAGTGTATGAACCAAAATTGGTCTAAAAAATTATGAAAAATTTTATAAAAACGGTCAATGATTCACCCTACCTCTCATATAAGGTCCTATCAGTAAATTTGATGAGTAATATCACCCTGATGTTTATAGAAAAGCATTCCTTTTACGGCATACGGTTTGATGGTGGGTATATTAGATTCGGCATAGCCGAATATAGCACTCTTACTTTTTTTTTTTTTGATATTTCAGCTTGTAAGTTAGTAGAGTCATCTTAAGTCCAAAAACTATTAAAATTCTCTTATTTAGTACTTTATAATGTATAAAATAGCGGAAAAATACTTAAAAATTCGGATTTTAAAATCCCGAAATTTCCCGGGATTTCATTTTTTAAAATCCCGGTTTTCGGTACTTTCAAATCCCGAAAATCCCGGGATTTTCGGGAATCGGGAATTCCCGTTTGGCATCCCTATGCACAACACAATAATAATAACAGCAACAAACGACAACAATAGGTGACGTTAAGCCAAATGAAAGTGTCCAACTGTCTGGCCTGTCTGTTTGTCTGTCTGTCTGTCTACCAGCTTGGTTGTCTGTTCTATTTGTTTGTCTGATGGACCGCGTCTGTTTATGTCGTTTTTATTTCATTTTTAAACAATTTATTTTATTTTTTATCCGGTATATTTTTCTAATTCATTGTTTTTGTTGGTATAAGCAACAAGAACAATAGTATTTGCAATGAATTAAATGTGTATTTTATGCAGTTACAAAAAGGATCAGGATGTATGTAAATTTTTAAATAAAAACCTTTTATTTTAGGTAAATTTGTTTGCTTCTTATGTGTAATTTTATAGTTTATAGTCACGGCAGTGTTTTCAAAACCAATTACCTTAGTAATCCTAATTAAGTTCTAGTTCTGTTCTAGTTCAGTTCTAGTTCAGTTCTAGTTCAGTTCTAGTTCAGTTCTAGTTCAGTTCTAGTCAGTTCTAGTTCAGTTCTAGTTCAGTTCTAGTTCAGTTCTAGTTCAGTTCTAGTTCAGTTCTAGTTCAGTTCTAGTTCAGTTCTAGTTCAGTTCTAGTTCAGTTCTAGTTTCAGTTCTAGTTCAGTTCTAGTTCAGTTCTAGTTCAGTTCTAGTTCAGTTCTAGTTCAGTTCTAGTTCAGTTCTAGTTCAGTTCTAGTTCAGTTCTAGTTCAGTTCTAGCTCAGTTCTAGTTCAGTTCTAGTTCAGTTCTAGTTCAGTTCTAGTTCAGTTCTAGTTCAGTTCTAGTTCAGTTCTAGTTCAGTTCTAGTTCAGTTCTAGTCAGTTCTAGTTCAGTTCTAGTTCAGTTCTAGTTCAGTTCTAGTTCAGTTCTAGTTCAGTTCTAGTTCAGTTCTAGTTCAGTTCTAGTTCAGTTCTAGTTCAGTTCTAGTTCAGTTCTAGTTCAGTTCTAGTTCAGTTCTAGTTCAGTTCTAGTTCAGTTCTAGTTCAGTTCTAGTTCAGTTCTAGTTCAGTTCTAGTTCAGTTCTAGTTCAGTTCTAGTTCAGTTCTAGTTCAGTTCTAGTTCAGTTCTAGTTCAGTTCTAGTTCAGTTCTAGTTCAGTTCTAGTTCAGTTCTAGTTCAGTTCTAGTTCAGTTCTAGTTCAGTTCTAGTTCAGTTCTAGTTCAGTTCTAGTTCAGTTCTAGTTCAGTTCTAGTTCAGTTCTAGTTCAGTTCTAGTTCAGTTCTAGTTCAGTTCTAGTTCAGTTCTAGTTCAGTTCTAGTTCAGTTCTAGTTCAGTTCTAGTTCAGTTCTAGTTCAGTTCTAGTTCAGTTCTAGTTCAGTTCTAGTTCAGTTCTAGTTCAGTTCTAGTTCAGTTCTAGTTCAGTTCTAGTTCAGTTCTAGTTCAGTTCTAGTTCAGTTCTAGTTCAGTTCTAGTTCAGTTCTAGTTCAGTTCTAGTTCAGTTCTAGTTCAAGTTCTAGTTCAGTTCTAGTTCAGTTCTAGTTCAGTTCTAGTTCAGTTCTAGTTCAGTCTAGTTCAGTTCTAGTTCAGTTCTAGTTCAGTTCTAGTTCAGTTTCTAGTTCAGTTCTAGTTCAGTTCTAGTCAGTTCTAGTTCAGTTCTAGTTCAGTTCTAGTTCAGTTCTAGTTCAGTTCTAGTTCAGTTCTAGTTCAGTTCAGTTCAGTTCTAGTTCATTTCTAGTTCAGTTCTAGTTCAGTTCTAGTTCAGTTCTAGTTCAGTTCTAGTTCAGTTCTAGTTCAGTTCTAGTTCAGTTCTAGTTCAGTTCTAGTTCAGTTCTAGTTCAGTTCTAGTTCGTTAGTTCAGTTCTAGTTCAGTTCTAGTTCAGTTCTAGTTCAGTTCGTTCAGTTCTAGTTCAGTTCTAGTTCAGTTCTAGTTCAGTTCTAGTTCAGTTCTAGTTCAGTTCTAGTTCAGTTCTAGTTCAGTTCTAGTTCAGTTCTAGTTCAGTTCTAGTTCAGTTCTAGTTCAGTTCTAGTTCAGTTCTAGTTCAGTTCTAGTTCAGTTCTAGTTCAGTTCTAGTTCAGTTCTAGTTCAGTTCTAGTTCAGTTCTAGTTCAGTTCTAGTTCAGTTCTAGTTCAGTTCTAGTTCAGTTCTAGTTCAGTTCTAGTTCAGTTCTAGTTCAGTTCTAGTTCAGTTCTAGTTCAGTTCTAGTTCAGTTCTAGTTCAGTTCTAGTTCAGTTCTAGTTCAGTTCTAGTTCAGTTCTAGTTCAGTTCTAGTTCAGTTCTAGTTCAGTTCTAGTTCAGTTCTAGTTCAGTTCTAGTTCAGTTCTAGTTCAGTTCTAGTTCAGTTCTAGTTCAGTTCTAGTTCAGTTCTAGTTCAGTTCTAGTTCAGTTCTAGTTCAGTTCTAGTTCAGTTCTAGTTCAGTTCTAGTTCAGTTCTAGTTCAGTTCTAGTTCAGTTCTAGTTCAGTTCTAGTTCAGTTCTAGTTCAGTTCTAGTTCAGTTCTAGTTCAGTTCTAGTTCAGTTCTAGTTCAGTTCTAGTTCAGTTCTAGTTCAGTTCTAGTTCAGTTCTAGTTCAGTTCTAGTTCAGTTCTAGTTCAGTTCTAGTTCAGTTCTAGTTCAGTTCTAGTTCAGTTCTAGTTCAGTTCTAGTTCAGTTCTAGTTCAGTTCTAGTTCAGTTCTAGTTCAGTTCTAGTTCAGTTCTAGTTCAGTTCTAGTTCAGTTCTAGTTCAGTTCTAGTTCAGTTCTAGTTCAGTTCTAGTTCAGTTCTAGTTCAGTTCTAGTTCAGTTCTAGTTCAGTTCTAGTTCAGTTCTAGTTCAGTTCTAGTTCAGTTCTAGTTCAGTCTTTTATGCGTTATGTGAACATTTACTCATCGAAATTTACATAGATTTCCAGTAAAAAGTATTAAATACATCTAGGACTTATTAATTATCTCTTCATGGGAAATATTTTATTACTTTTTCCTGGTATATATGTTGTGGATTTTACTATAATTAATATTATACAAATTCCCCTTAATAAATACGTACTTGTTCTGTTAGAACACATACATAACTTCAAAACTGCTAAAACATTCAACAAATTTTTGAACATGCTTCAAGGGTATGTAGCACAAACGTACGAGTACTGATGATAATGCAATGAAATCATTTGTAAACCAAATGAAAACAAACAACATCAAAAAACAAAACTTCACTTAAGGAATTCAAAAATTATTATTACACTTTAACAGCACCAGGAAAAGAAGCTTAAAATCAAAAGGAAACCATAAATGATTTTTCCTAAGATGTTCATTCTTATACTAATGCGAAATATAGAAAGGGAAATAAAGAAATGAGAGAGAAAATAAGGAAATTATTTAAAGTAATGTGGAAATAACAACACTACAAGGATGCCATAATAATAGAATCTATTGTTGCAGTGCCACAATACTATTACTAGAACTGAGCTATCATGACTACATAGCATTAGTGTGTATGTGCATGGTGATGGTGATGATGTTGGTGTTGAGATGGAAAGAAAATGTTATGAATGAAAATATTACTAGGGAAATCCTAATGAGATTTAGAAGCTATACGAAGGCGTAGGATTATGCAGTTGTATTTTATAAAACGAACTCTGTACAACTTTCACGAATATTACCAAAGGATTGTGAAGTTGACGCCAATGCAAACCGACAAACTCACGTATAGATACGTATGTTCGTACATACATATATAAAGTGTAAGTTTGGCAGCAACAGCATCAGTAATGCCAACTATGCAGCTGGGTGTCATCCGTATTTTGTCATCAAATTTGAATGAAGCATGTTTTGTTGTATTTGTACGAATGTAGTAGTTGTAAGGTTTATATTTCTTGGTGTCTGTTGCTCTATGTTGAAACCTTCTTTTTTTGTTGGCTGCCTTCAACAAAATTTTACGTATGCATTAAAAAACGTGCTGTTCCTTGCAGATGAGACTGTTATGGTATGTGACTGCAAACGCAGCATAAAATTGCCAGGAATTCTTTATTCTTTTAGTTAAAGAAAGCAAAAAAAGCCAAAATAAAAAGGTAATTTCAACTTTAGTTTTCATTGTTTAAGAAAAGAATTGAACAAAATTCTGCTTCTTTAAATTTTTATTTTTCCACACTAAAGTTGCGTATATTTTTCATGTAAAAAGTCAACTAGAATAGATGTGTTTAACATCAATTCTTTTCAACGTACAATTTTTGGTTTTTATTTTTTTATTCTGATTTTCAAATAGAACGAGTGTCGTTATCACGTTCCATCAAAAATAAAAATGGAAAGAGAAAGAAGAATAAAACTTTAGAAGGAATAATATGACCAAGGAGAGATGAAAACTATAAGTTTTGCTGATAAGGAAAAATCCAACTACCATCTAGAAACCAGTTACACGTTCTGTCTCTCACAGAAACGTAAAAGCACAACGACAAAACAATTGTTAAAGTGCATTATAGTTAAATATGTTTAAAAGCCATTAAATGCATATTTGCCTTTTATTGCGCTTTTTGTAGTTTATATTTCAAGGTGTTGTTGTCCTTAAAAGGGTGGTAAAATAATATTTAATTGTGGGTAAATGTCGGATTTTTTATAATAAAATATGTATTACTAAGGGGTTTCATAGTGTCAGTTTCTTTTCGATTACAGTATTTCGAATTGTTTTATTTTCTAAGGTTCAATATAATTTGAACTTTTTGTTTAAAGTTGAAGTGAAACCAAATGGGATTATACTGATAACAAAAGATTTGCATACCGATAATTTAATAACCATTCGTAAAGGTATATTTTTTTTGCATAAAATTTCCATTTTCTGGAAGTTGAATTTTTATGACACAAGACTAATCTGTCACTGAACTTGCAGTCTCGTTTTTGTTTATTAGTAAGTACCCAGCAAATTCCCAGTAATAACTTGTACTTACAGAACTGCTTACTTTTCAATTACTACTACGTATTGTTATAAGGTATTCCTATAATGAATTACATATAATGAAATAAGTACTTTATTTTGAGTTTTGTCGTTTTTTTACACACACGAAAAGGAAATAGTTTTTCTGGGTGAAAATCATTATTTGACGCACAATAAAATAACTAAGCAGTGGTGTTGTGAGTTGGTAGTGAACTAATGAACAAGAGGCCCAGGTTCATATTCTGTGTGAGTAAGTTTTTGTGCGTAAAGAAGTTTTTTAAGAAGTTATTTGTATGCTGGCTTTTAAAATCATTACTTTTAAATGTAAGTTTTTGCGATACTATTTGACTGATAGGTATTATCAAGTACAACAAGAATCTGTTTTTGAAATTTGTCAAACACCTCGAAAATCTTGATATATAGGTAAATAACCGGTTTTTCGTATCTTTATGCATTTTAAACCCAATATCATAGTTAAATATCAATCAATTTTAGGATTCTCAACGGCTTTAAAAAGTATAATTTGAGGTTTCTATAATGATAGACATATGTATATGGTGTTTAAGTAATCTAGAGAAATGTATGTGAGTTTTGCACTCTTTTTCCTAGTTTTGAGATGTTTTCACATTAAATTATCTAATCTAATTCTAGTGTTATTTGGTGTGCTGATTCCGAAAATGAAAATAAAAAAGTCGTATCACCCACCAATTTTCCACATTTTCATATTTTAGTCCTTCTGACTGTATACTTGAGTCCCAAATATAAAATTCTGTTATTTTTCAGGTGTTGCAAATAGTGGCTGTCTCTGCATCTGGACTTATACTTCATATTATAAATATATTAAAATAATTTAAAATAATATAAATATATTAAAATAATTTAAATATATATTCCTTGATCATTCCAATAAGATATAAAACACAAAAAATTGGTTAAAAATTGTAAAAGTTATTACAAATTCTTCCGATCATTTAGTGTCACAAAACACCTATCTGAGAAGTATTTAAAAAAAATGTAAAAATCATGTCATTACATTTGGGAAAATGTCCATGTGACTTATAAGAAGGACAATAAAAAATAGTAAAGAAATTAGGTCGATATCTTTCACATATTAGAGGTACCTGCGAATTTAATTTTGAGGATTTCGGAGAAAACTATTTTTCGTTAAAATTTTTGGAAAACAGATTTTATTCTTTACTGTTATCCATTTTATATAAAACTTTTTCAGATAATACAATTTACGATAATATGAAACATATATCTGAAGTTTTAGTAAAATCGAATAATATTAACCCATAAACTGTAAAGGTCAAACTCAAGCTATGCAATATTAAGAAATCCTCTTGAAACCAAAGTGAAATATAATTTTGTTTTCAACCGATTTAAATGAAACTTAAGATAAATTGTATATAATGAAGACCCGTATTTAAGATGACCTCGAAAAAATTCAAATTAACCTTTAAACGTAAATATATTTTTATAATTATATAAAATGTCTGTAATATATGAACAAAATATTCGATCCCATTTTCCGAGTATATGGCGGGTGATAGAAAAAAAACAGATATCATATTCGGTTTCAGCAGCTTATACTACATTAAAATCAGTTGAATTGGTTTCAAAAGTTTTCACAAACCTACATTACGTTGGCTTGTGTTATTAAAGTATTAGAAAAATATGTCTATTTGTGAGTAAAATTCAACTTTGTTTTAAAAACAATCGATCGGAAGACATCGGTTTCAATAGTTGTTTCAATCGATAAAATTCCCCATATATGTAACTATATTTTGAACTGTAGTACTTTAAAGTACTAAATATTTTACCCTAAACACGATTGATTTAAAATTTAAGTAAAGTCATATCAACCTAAATAAACATGTTTTATTAGACGTTTTTTTCTATACATCGATAACATAATAACATTTATTCAACAACAAAAACAGCAAGAACAGTGGTACACATACTCAGTAAAGAAAAAAACACTTAAACGTTTTATAAGTTTTTTATTATTCCTATATATGTATGTATATTCCAACAAAGTATGTATCTCAGCAATAGTATCACATCGTTTTAAACTAAGTGTATTGAACGTGATTTGTTTTCTTAAGATTTCCCTACTAGAACTTAAGTGACAATTTTTAATTCAAAGATATACTAAAAAAGGAACTGCAAAAAAAAACTTTAGTAGTCCTTTTGAGCATAAGAATTTTTAGACATCTATAAACACACTAAGAAAAAATAAACATTAAATTTAAATATAAAAACGTCTAAAGGAAGACTTTGTCTAAGGTGACAATTTAATGATACATAATGGCAAGTAAAAAAATTTTAAAATATAAAAGAAAATATTGGTTGCACTAAACCACTTGTTGTAATCATTTTTAATCAAATCAAAACTAAAACGTGATTTATCTTAAAATCTTTCACCATTTTTTATATATTTTGTAAAAATTATTTTCCATCTTTTTTTTCATTATAGGTCCTGCCTTTTGGGGTTTAATTAATCCCGAATGGTCTTTGTGTAATAAAGGACGAAGACAATCACCAGTTAATTTAGAACCTCAACGTTTATTATTTGATCCTAATTTAAGAATATTACACATAGATAAACATAGAGTAAGTAATCTTTATCACATACATATTTTTAATTATTAAGTAATTAACAACAAATATTTTAATTACAGATAAGTGGTTTAATCACCAACACAGGTCATAGTATTATATTCACAGCGGGCAATGATACGGTTGCCAATTATGATGGCATGCAAATGCCTGTAAATATTACAGGCGGTCCTTTATCGTATCGCTATAGATTTCATGAGATACACATACACTACGGTCTACACGATCAATTTGGTTCAGAGCATAGTGTGGATGGTTATACATTTCCCGCTGAGGTAAGTTATTGTAACTTAATATTTAGTTAATTCTTCTTTGTCTTAAATTGCTCCTGTAGATAGCAAATCAATATTTACTTGTTAAATATAATTTACTTACGGGTAGATTTAATTAAAGGCGCAATTTGGTATTTTCCCTTTTTTATATTTTCTTTGTCGTGTTGTTGAGAATTTCATTTTAATAAAACAAAGAAATAAAATCATTTGATTATACATAAGTATTCGTAATAATGTTATACAGAATAAATATATTTATATTTACACACACTTCCATTTATAGGGTTATGGAATTTTTGTACAGTGATGGGCAAGTTTTTGCACACATTTTTAAAAGATTAGCCAGAAGAGTTGCGGATAGAGATTGTTTTGATTTTATTTTTTTAAATTTGGCAGCAAAAATTTTAATAAAAATTCATGGGTGATTAATTTTTGCAGAAAAACTATTATTCTATATTCTATTTCTAGTTCAGTTCTAGTTGAGTTCTAGTTGAGTTCTAGTTTAGTTCTAGTTGAGTTCTAGTTGAGTTCAGTTGAGTTCAGTTGAGTTCTAGTTGAGTTCTAGTTCAGTTCTAGTTCAGTTCTAGTTCAGTTCTAGTTCAGTTATAGTTGAGTTCTAGTTCAGTTCTAGTTCAGTTCTAGTTCAGTTCTAGTTCAGTTCTAGTTCAGTTCTAGTTCAGTTCTAGTTCAGTTCTAGTTCAGTTCTAGTTCAGTTCTAGTTCAGTTCTAGTTCAGTTCTAGTTCAGTTCTAGTTCAGTTCTAGTTCAGTTCTAGTTCAGTTCTAGTTCAGTTCTAGTTCAGTTCTAGTTCAGTTCTAGTTCAGTTCTAGTTCAGTTCTAGTTCAGTTCTAGTTCAGTTCTAGTTCAGTTCTAGTTCAGTTCTAGTTCAGTTCTAGTTCAGTTCTAGTTCAGTTCTAGTTCAGTTCTAGTTCAGTTCTAGTTCAGTTCTAGTTCAGTTCTAGTTCAGTTCTAGTTCAGTTCTAGTTCAGTTCTAGTTCAGTTCTAGTTCAGTTCTAGTTCAGTTCTGGTTCAGTTCTAGTTCAGTTCTAGTTCAGTTCTAGTTCAGTTCTAGTTCAGTTCTAGTTCAGTTCTAGTTCAGTTCTAGTTCAGTTCTAGTTCAGTTCTAGTTCAGTTCTAGTTCAGTTCTAGTTCAGTTCTAGTTCAGTTCTAGTTCAGTTCTAGTTCAGTTCTGTTCAGTTCTAGTTCAGTTCTAGTCAGTTCTAGTTCAGTTCTAGTTCAGTTCTAGTTCAGTTCTAGTTCAGGCTGTCAGGTTTAGTTCAGTTCTAGTTCAGTTCTAGTTCAGTTCTAGTTCAGTTCTAGTTCAGTTCTAGTTCAGTTCTAGTTCAGTTCTAGTTCAGTTCTAGTTCAGTTCTAGTTCAGTTCTAGTTCAGTTCTAGTTCAGTTCTAGTTAGTTTAGTTCAGTTCTAGTTCAGTTCTTAGTGTCAGTTCTAGTTCAGTTCTAGTTCAGTTTAGTTCAGTTCTAGTTCAGTTCTAGTTCAGTTCTAGTTTCAGTTTCTAGTTCAGTTCTAGTTCAGTTCTAGTTCAGTTCTAGTTCAGTTCTAGTTCAGTTCTAGTTCAGTTCTAGTTCAGTTCTAGTTCAGTTCTAGTTCAGTTCTAGTTCCGTTCTAGTTCAGTCTAGTTCAGTTCTAGTTCAGTTCTAGTTCAGTTCATCTAGTTCAGTTCTAGTTCAGTTCTAGTTCAGTTCTAGTTCAGTTCTAGTTCCTAGTTTCAGTTCTAGTTCAGTTCTAGTTCAGTTCTAGTTCAGTTCTAGTTCAGTTCTAGTTCAGTTCTAGTTCAGTTCTAGTTCAGTTCTAGTTCAGTTCTAGTTCAGTTCTAGTTCAGTTCTAGTTCAGTTCTAGTTCAGTTCTAGTTCAGTTCTAGTTCAGTTCTAGTTCAGTTCTAGTTCAGTTCTAGTTCAGTTCTAGTTCAGTTCTAGTTCAGTTCTAGTTCAGTTCTAGTTCAGTTCTAGTTCAGTTCTAGTTCAGTTCTAGTTCAGTTCTAGTTCAGTTCTAGTTCAGTTCTAGTTCAGTTCTAGTTCAGTTCTAGTTCAGTTTCAGTTCTAGTTCAGTTCTAGTTCAGTTCTAGTTAGTTCAGTTCTAGTTCAGTTCTAGTTCGTTCAGTTCTAGTTCAGTTCTAGTTCAGTTCTAGTTCAGTTCTAGTTCAGTTCTAGTTCAGTTCTAGTTCAGTTCTAGTTCAGTTCTAGTTCAGTTCTAGTTCAGTTCTAGTTCAGTTCTAGTTCAGTTCTAGTTCAGTTCTAGTTCAGTTCTAGTTCAGTTCTAGTTCAGTTCTAGTTCAGTTCTAGTTCAGTTCTAGTTCAGTTCTAGTTCAGTTCTAGTTCAGTTCTAGTTCAGTTCTAGTTCAGTTCTAGTTCAGTTCTAGTTCAGTTCTAGTTCAGTTCTAGTTCAGTTTCTAGTTCAGTTCTAGTTCAGTTCTAGTTCAGTTCTAGTTCAGTTCTAGTTCAGTTCTAGTTCAGTTTCTAGTTCAGTTCTAGTTCAGTTCTAGTTCAGTTCTAGTTCAGTTCTAGTTCAGTTCTAGTTCAGTTCTAGTTCAGTTCTAGTTCAGTTCTAGTTCAGTTCTAGTTCAGTTCTAGTTCAGTTCTAGTTCAGTTTCTAGTTCAGTTCTAGTTCAGTTCTAGTTCAGTTCTAGTTCAGTTCTAGTTCAGTTCTAGTTCAGTTCAGTTCAGTTCTAGTTCAGTTCTAGTTCAGTTCTAGTTCAGTTCTAGTTCAGTTCTAGTTCAGTTCTAGTTCATTCTAGTTCAGTTCTAGTTCAGTTCTAGTTCAGTTCTAGTTCAGTTCTAGTCAGTTCTAGTTCAGTTTAGTTCAGTTCTAGTTCAGTTCTAGTTCAGTTCTAGTTCAGTTCTAGTTCAGTTCTAGTTCAGTTTCTAGTTCAGTTCTAGTTCAGTTCTAGTTCAGTTCTAGTTCAGTTCTAGTTCAGTTCTAGTTCAGTTCTAGTTCAGTTCTAGTTCAGTTCTAGTTCAGTTCTAGTTCAGTTCTAGTTCAGTTCTAGTTCAGTTCTAGTTCAGTTTCTAGTTCAGTTCTAGTTCAGTTCTAGTTCAGTTCTAGTTCAGTTCTAGTTCAGTTCTAGTTCAGTTCTAGTTCAGTTCTAGTTCAGTTCTAGTTCAGTTCTAGTTCAGTCTAGTTCAGTTCTAGTTCAGTTCTAGTTCAGTTCTAGTTCAGTTCTAGTTCAGTTCTAGTTCAGTTCTAGTTCAGTTCTAGTTCAGTTCTAGTTCAGTTCTAGTTCAGTTCAGTCAGTTCAGTTCTAGTTCAGTTCTAGTTCAGTTCTAGTTCAGTTCTAGTTCAGTTCTAGTTCAGTTCTAGTTCAAGTTCTAGTTCAGTTCTAGTTCAGTTCTAGTTCAGTTCTAGTTCAGTTCTAGTTCAGTTCTAGTTCAGTTCTAGTCAGTTCTAGTTCAGTATAGTTCAGTCTAGTTCAGTTCTAGTTCAGTTCTAGTTCAGTTCTAGTTCAGTTCTAGTTCATTTCTAGTTCAGTTCTAGTTCAGTTCTAGTTCAGTTCTAGTTAGTTCTAGTTCAGTTCTAGTTCAGTTCTATTTCAGTTCTAGTTCAGTTCTAGTTCTCATTTTCAGTTTAAAGTTACCAGAACATTATGTTACTATTATATTTAAATGGGTTTTATATATGCAATTTAATTAGAAAATTAGTTAAATTTTATTCAATGTCAACAACTACTTACACATGTATGTTCTTTTATTTCCGTTTTTTCCTTAAATTAAATCAAAACAAAGTGCATAAACTACTTTTCTAGTCTTTTGTTTTTCTCTCTCGCGTGGACCTGGTTTTACCCTACCAGTTTTATATGACTTTGACTTTATTTCATAGTAAATGTCATTACATATGAATACAAAAGAAAATAAAATAAAGAAGAAAAAAATACAGAAACATAGAAAAAGATTTGAAGTACATATAGATTTGTTAGACGTGTTGGTTGTTGATTTTTTATTTGCTGTTGTGCTTTTTTTCCTTTCTTTTCTGATTTGAACATTATGACAGTTGCTGTCGTCGATGGTTGCTTAAGCTTCCCTTTTGTTGTCAGTTTTTTTTTTTGCGATGTTTCGACTGCTGTCATTTGAACATATTTTGTTAGAGATTTCTCTAGGTTAAATATTTATTTAGACAAACGAGCGGAAGTATATTTGATCAGTAGCAGCAACAACAGAAACAAAAACAATCATTTAAATCGTTACAAATGTTGAGTGATTTATTTACACAATTTTCTTGCCACTCAGTATTTTTACACACTTATGTTTGTATGTAGCAGTTAAGTAAACAAATATGAAGACACTTTATTATTTTCCTAAGAGCAAAAAAATGTTCATTTACTTTCATTTTTATTTGATTTCTTTGTTAGAAGGTTTATTTTTTTATATTTTTGTTCATTAAATGTTTACAACTGTTTGCAAAAAAATAAGTCATTAAATTTTTGTAGTAAATACAGGGGCGTATGAGTAATATTTACAATGATTTATTTAAATGGTAATCATGCGTTGGATTTTTTTTAATATATGGTACATGAAAGAAAAATTTTTCTTTTTTACTTCTATATTTAGTTAGTATATTTCTTATTAGAGAAAAATTATTAAATTTCATAAAAGACGTATTTGCTTTTAAATATATATGTATATGTTTTTTTTTTCTTAAATTCCAAAAATAATTAACTGTTCAGTTTGTATCTTCTTTTGAAAATCTCCGGAAGCAGTATTATAGTCATTATTAAATATTTCTGTCTTGCTTTAAAATATCTTTAATAAATTTACAAGTTTTAATATGCAACAAAATATTTAAAATTCCGCTCTATTAAAGAAATTTAAAACCAATTAGTAATCTATACAAATATGTATATATATTTTTTCTTAAATAATTTACCCGTATATTTTTACTTAAAAATAAACAAGTCAAAAGCAAACATTAAAAGCGTATATGTGTATATAATACGCTAAATAAACTAAACACTATTCAATATTTATTAATTTACAAAAACTTTAAAGGAAAT